ACAGCAACAAGTTTGGAGTTGAAGAGGTAATTTGATCGAACATCGATTCCGTGGGCGAGTGGTTTGCTTCCTGAAGGCATGTCGAGTGCTAGATTATCAGATCCGAGTTTGTTGGCTAGGTCCTTCATAGCAACCAGCGACTCGACCTCGGTAAGTTCACCGGCAATAGCCTTGAATTCATTGCCCTTGGGCGCAAGCTGCTGGTAAGCTGCCGTAATCTCGGTCAAGGCCTGCTCCCAAGACGCCGGCTCGAATTTGCCTTCTCGTCGTACCAGTGGCATAGTTAATCGCTGAGTCTTCAGACCGTCGCATGCGAATCGGGTCTTATCGTTGATCCATTCCTCGTTGACGTCATCATTAAGTCGTGGGAGAATTCTCATGACCTCCAGACCGCGCGAGTCGACACGAATAGCGGATCCTAGACCATCGAGCACATCAACCGATTCGGTCTTTTTCAGTTCCCAGGGGCGAGCTCGGAAGGCGTAGGGTTTTGACGTGAGAGCTCCGACGGGGCATAAGTCGATGACGTTACCGGACATCTCGGATTCTAGGTTCTGTTCTAGGTATGTACCGATTTGGATATCGTTTCCTCGTCCGTACGAACCCATCTCGGGAGCACCGGCTATATCGTTCAAGAACCGAATACATCTCGTACAGTGGATACACCGGTTCATGGAGGTCTTGACTAGGGGTCCAATATTCTTATCCTCCACCGCTCGCTTGCCACCGATCTCATGGAATCGGCCCCTGTCTGCACCGTATCGCATAGACTGATCTTGAAGATCACATTCACCACCCTGATCGCAGATAGGGCAGTCTAGCGGGTGATTCGCTAGGAGGAATTCCATCACTCCCTCGCGGGCTTTATGTGTAAGCGGCGAGTTTGTCTTCACTACCATACCGGGTTGTACGGGCCATGCGCAAGAGGCGACTGGTTTTGGTGCTCGTTCGACTTCGACTAGACACATTCGGCAATTTCCGGCTATCATCAACTTCCTATGCCACATCGTTAGTACCGGTGTCATGGTGGGGGGTGGTTGATACTGGGTCGATCGTACTCGTGATAACAATATCTATAGATCATTAGCAATGGGTATTTTATATTGGATTGAATATATCATATAACATATACTACTAACCTGGGGACGGTAGAACCGGCCTTCTCACAGGCCTGAATTAAAGCTGATCCAGCTGCGGGCTTAATCAGTAAAGACATTCGATTGCGCACTAAAGGTTCATTATGACTCTGTACCTTCGATTGACACCTTCTTTCCATCTATAGGAATATTAGTTACCATTCAAGGACCATCCGAACGTAACTTTAGAGCAAGATGCTCACCAATTGTTAGCTCCACCTCTGCCGGCCGCTGAGTCGTCGCAGAAAAAGCTCTCGAGGTTCGGGCGGCATGTCGGCTGCTCCGCCAAGCCGAACGAGCTAGAGAGTGTCGGAGCATCGTGTCGTCTCGACGGAATTGGGGATTACGGGGGGGAGGTAGGTAAAGTAGGACTCAGGGCGGGTTGATGGTCAATTGGGGGAGTCCTTTTTCGAAAAGAATGTTGACGTCGTTTCTTGAGGAGTAATACTTGTCGGGAATTATTGGACGGTTCTCATGAAAGTGGCGCTAGCGATTAATCGCGATTATAATAATCTTTCTTTGATTGGTTATAGCTGTGTGGGTAACTTTACATAATATTACGGCCCGACATTAATAAGGCACTGCACAAAAAGGTACAGAGGTACGAACTCGTAGTCTCTTAGCCAGAGTCCCCATTTCAATATTTTGTGTACTTTTTTTGATGACCTCAGCAATAGCTCAGCTAAGCAAGTTAGCTTCAAAAGACGCTTTGACCACATATGGATCCACACAGCTCCTTGATCGTCGTTTAATTCGAAATTTTTGCATGAGCCTTCTTCTGATTCTTCTTCCTCTCATCAACAAATTGTACATGAGCACACTTTATCGTAGGTGAGCTTGAGCAAATCTCTAGATTTTTCTAGTTACTTTGCTATAGTCGAGTTTTCCTCTATATTGTGCCCTAGAGCAAAAAATCATCAACGCCGTCATGGAAGCATGTGAGAGCTTCTTTGAATCTCGAGGATCTTTGCCTCTTACCGCCGGTCGTTACATTTACATATTAGACATATATCCATATCTACGCACAAAACTGAATAAAGCCAAGTTCGGACCCGAGAGATCCCTTTATTATTTTCATATTATTATTGCCTTGACTGCCGTTTGGATGTATTATGTTACCAGGCTATTTTGATATTGCCAGCGATGTCTAATGACAAGATCGTTGACAACCTTGAAACCGCACGTGTAGCCAGCCAATGCCCTGCTGGATAGAAGCCCTGTCAGAATGGATCCATGGAAGCCATGTGCGAGGAACGGCCATAGCGTCCGGGATAATTTTCTAAGCGACGCGTCGCGTGATTATCGTCGCCTTTACTTAATATTGTAGTATCCCATTGTTTCGCAATCAATTCTTCGAGTAGTCAGCTCTCCTCGACCATTATTCCCATACCAAACCCATCAGAATCTTGAGGCGACTTCAATCGCACCTTTGTTGAACCAAATGGACGGCGGAAATGTAAACTTCGTTGGCGCTCCCAACTGCCAACGGGTCGACCTGTCGCGAATTACCGGCAGAGACCTACTTTTGCACGTCGCCGCTTCTCTCGCCAGCCTTCGCGATGACTTCCCCGACATGTTCCAGCACCTCGAGGATGTCGTACAAGGAGAATCTAACGATTGGAAGGAAATACTGGAAGATATCGGGAAGAATCTACAAACCATTGAATCAACTATCGATGATCTTCAAGAGGGCCAGGAGGGCGACGACGGAGTCAAGTCGCTTCTGCGCACCTTCGAGGAACAGGTCCTTGATCTGCAAGCTGGACAGGATCGCCTTGCTGGCGAAATCAGATTGCATGGAAATATTACCCGTTCCCGAATCGAAGTTTTGAGAGAATCCCTTGAGGATGGACTTGACACCAAGACGAAAGCTCTCCATGCCGAGGTTCAAGTATTGCGTCGATGCTTCGCTGCGACCCCTCGGTTTTCTCAATTCCGGAAGCTTCCAGCTGAAGTTCGGCTCATGATCTGGGACTTGGCTCTTCCCCGGCGGATTCTTTGCCTCGAGGAAACTGATCGCGAGTACGACGAGCGCAGCTTCGGTTCCTATAAATTTGCTTCGAAATCTCTTCCTCCCGCGGTAGCCCAAGTCTGTCGCGAGTCTCGGGCTGTTGCGTGTCAGAGTGGCGGGCTCATGTCGATTAGAAACGCCAGGGTATATCCAGAGACCTCGTCGAAGAAGCCATTGTGGTGCCAGCCTCAATGGGGCTGGTTTGATCCGAACAGGGACAGCCTCTATTTACAGCCTGTGACGAATCATTTACGAAGTCTCGACGCTATATCGGATTTGACCAATTGTGCCAAGCACATTACGCTGGATTGCGGTTCAACTAAAGCAGGATTCAGCGAATTCTTCTATTGCTTATTCAGCCCACATCATTTCCCGCAGTTGAAAGGCATTGATCTGGTCGGAGCAGTGTATGTCCAACCGGAGCGCAGCGACCCAGTTATCGAAACCCGAGTCTTTAAATACGGTCGCGACTTTCCTGTCTGTCTCGATATCGATGACGAGCCAGCAAAATCCGCTCTGATGGGAAGACTGGAGACGAATCATTACTCATCTAATGATGTCAAAAGGCTCGCGAAGTTCCTAGCCCATGCCCATCGCGTTCCGTGGTCTAACCTAGGTCGCTTGGGTGACCAAGACTGGGATGAACACCTCAACTACTGGGGCGAAGAATGGCTTCGTTTTCAGTTTCACCGGGCTCCCCCAACCGGCAAGGAGGAGCATGACCAGCTTGTGAGTGTAGGTGGCGAAGAAAAAGTCTGGGTGTCATCTAATTGGGTTTCCATGATGCTTCCGGACCTCCCCGTTATTCGGCGTGTGGCTCTGCTTCGTTTGGATTCATGGGACAAGTAGTCGATGAGGGAGGCACTGCCTACGTGTATATTACTCTTTGTCGTCTTGGACCGTCCTGGCTGGGGGGTTTTGGGATGGGTCACGCCGGGTTCATGTAACGAATAACGGGGATTGCTATGTCGGTGCTGGAGGGAGCGTGTAAGAATTTATGAACATCTCAGATGCCCATGTACATGTAGCGGGGGACTAGATCACATATCTAATGCTAAGTTCCTAGGTTTGGAGCTCGAGTACATATCATTTTTAATTTTGTTTTTTTAGCACCCTATACCCGGGTTTAATACTTTCATATGTTCAGACTAACACTTATAATTTATACCCAACAAAATATTTCTTAAGCATGTTTTACGATATCATAACTTAGAATTTAGTATCCAAGTACATAATATAAACACATCCATAATATAGTAATACTTCAACAATGACAAGTAATGTTTATAAAGTGCCTATTTGTTCATGACTAAATACTCAGACATATATAGTGAACCCTAGATATCTCCAGCTAGCTGATATGCTAATAAGTGTACCTACCTGGTACTGATGCTGAACTTGGAGTTGGCTGCTTAGGTAATTCGGTTGTGGTGTCGTGCTTACATACGAAGGTCCGGGCCGCACCGTATGAACCAGTAGGTTTCCCTGCACGGTGTTCCTTCTTGCTCTAGTGGCTAAGTCCCTTAGGTTATAGCGGTTAGCACTAAGTTCCAATGACTAAACCGCTATTAGGTCTGAGGTTTAGCGCAAGGCTAATACAGTATGAAGAAGTAGATGACCTTATTTATTTAAAACTGTGCAGAAACCTGAAAGAGGTGCGAATCTTTTAGCCTAGACCTTCATACTCTTTATTCCTCAACCAATCAAAATGCGTCAATTCACCGCTCGGTCTTCAACCCACACACGCAAGCTCCTCTTGAGCCACCTTGATGGAATCAACTTTATGAGTGACAATAAAAACAGCCAATCATTCAATAGATTGCGATTCATGATATGGTTGCAAGATTAGCCGTGGTTTGATGGTCTAGTGGTATGATTCTCGCTTAGGGAAAACCTATGCAATATATGCGAGAGGTCCCGGGTTCAATCCCCGGTCAAACCCCAACTTTTTGGTATTATTGATCTTAAATGATGAATTATTTTTGCTGTGATCGGTAGTTCGGATCCGGTTGGGGTGCGATGATTCAGGCAGTTCGGGTCCGATTAAGCATAAGTACATATATTGATTGATATTATATAAGTTAACCGTTTAAGGTCAAATGCGTATCCTTGACTTCTTTTTGTAATTAAAAAGAAATGTGATTAAAGCAGTATGATGAGTATGTACGGATACATAAACCATTAGACCAGAATCTCTCACCGATATTTCCAATATTTCAATAATGTACAGGCTACAGGTAACAGATCTGTAAGGTTTTTCTTTTTGGGTACACGGCGATCAGGCACCAACTTTGGGTGAATACCCTATGAAGCTTTGAATGCAAAAAGGCCTTTCCTCCGAATCTATTGATCTACATAGGTAGAGAGATATGGTGGATGATGAAATAACACTAAGAGATTTAGGGCTGCGGACTACTCTGGGGAAGTATTCAAGCCTCTTTTCGATTAACCGGTACCTACCATACTCATCCTCTAATGACCTCATTTAACTCGAGTGACCTCGCATCTGAATTCTTGGGTTTGTAATTTATCTCCATATCTAACGTTCTCGATATTCCGAACAGAGTCTACCGGTGTAGGTACACAGCATACAAGTTTTACAAGTTTACCAGACGAGGCCTGCATGAGTCGCGTGAGCTGGACCACTGGCAACTAGCTCTAGACTCTAGTACATAATAGTATCAAAAGGAATCATTATCAGTTGGCGTCTCATTTCGGCGCTGACGGATTCGGGACAACTCGAGTGGGCCGCCCAGCCAAAGCCAACCGGGGTCAAGTCGTCCTGAAATTGTATATTTAATAATACAGAGACTTTTGTTTCACAATCTAGCAACATAATTTCTTCTCGAATTCATAAGTCCAAGTAGATCTCTTGTCACTAAAGAACATTCTGACGATCACTTCGATGTGATAAATATGGGTATATTTGGAAATCCGAGATACGATGAGAGTATACCTTAGATAATATTTTTCGAAGCTCAAGTGAAATTCGCCCAAGATGCCTCGCTTAATTGGTTTTTTTTTTTCCACGAAGAAAAACGCTAACAGCCAAGACATCTACCTTCTCGCCTAGGCTCCTGCAGGCGGAAGCTAGCGACGTTGCAGTCCCGAGACCCCTGGAAAAGGACCTGGGCTGGGTATGGCCCAACGTATCATAGGTAGTCCTTGCCGTTGGTAGTCATATTAGGGGGGCGGCGTTCTACCTATCTTATAAAAGGATCTCACCAGCCGTTGACACATTCACAAGATGTCTGATCCTTTTAGTCCGTTGTGCGCGAGTCAAGACGACGGGACGAAGTTTTTTCTTCACGTCCACGTTTTCAACGTCATTTACCTTCTCCAACTGATTACATTCATTTAAAACACCCCCAACACATCAAATATGTATACCAAAGCGGTCCTCCTCGCGGCCTTCAGCGCCACCGCCTCCGCTCTCCTCCCGCGCCAGACCCTCGATACGGCCTCGCCCCTCCCCGACGCGACGGGGTCCTCGTCCCCGGAATGCGCCTCGCGCATCTCCTCCTGGACCGAGTCCTTCCCCACCCCGGCGCCCGCTCTCGAGGACCTGCTCGAGAACGGCCCCGAAGGCGCGCTGGCGCAGGACGGCGTGGAGGGCTTGTGCGACTTCGCCAGTAGCCTCGCAACGAGCGAGGCCGCGGCTTTTACTTCTTACAACCTCGGCATGTACTCGTACCTGTCGAGACAGAGCTCCAACTTGCTTGCGCTGGCTACCAGCTGCTCGACCGATATGGGCGCCGCGCCCTCGGTTATCACGAGCCAGCTCGATGAGCTGCTCACCGTGTACTCGAGCTTCTCGGCCGGAGCTTGCAAGGAGGTGAGCACGACGGGCTCTAGCTCTGCGACTACTACTGGCTCTTCTTCTTCCAGTTCTACTTCTTCTGGTTCTTCCGGTTCTGCTCCCAGCACTTCTTCTTCCGGCAGCGCATCTTCTACGACGACCAGTGCCGCCACTAGTGTCACCACTACGGCAACTTCTAACAGCAGCAGCGTGTCTTCATCAATTGGATCGACTACTAGCTCTGGAAGCACCGCAAACGCATCTTCATCGCCGACTGTGTCTCAGAATGCCGGACCCCGAGAAACCGGCATGCTCGCCGCAGCTGCCCTGGCTATGGGCGTTCTTGGCGCTGCAGTGGTGCTATGATTAAAAAAATACCTAAATAGTTGGCGATACAATAGAATTAGAATGCAAGAAAGTAGTTTGTGTCGCATATCGTGAACTTCTGACCACATCTTTATGATCTAATATTCCCCTCACTCTATTCTTGCCTCTCATACCTCATCTCCTGTCACTTCACGCCCATCAGAATGAAACACAGTTGATCCTGCCTACTGGAAGCATGCGTACATGGCGATAATCTGGTCTCATTAAGGGGTAGTCCAAAATATACGTCCACCCTCGAGAGACCGATGTTATTAAGGCACTCCACCTATCCCAGGTCACATGACTACCCATCTACGTTACCTAGTCGTCCCCCCTTTTATTGAAGTCCGCGATCTACGATTCTATGCCCCAACGATACCATGCTTTTTCCACCTCTATCTAGCAAAGGTTGGCTTCCGTGGCCGCAATACTCGCGCAGTCCGCGATCCTAAACATCTTATGGGTTAAATTCAGATACATGAAACAGCTCATCGTTGGTTATACCTACAGTAAACACACGAAACGTGAACGTGAACCCTGGTAGTAAATCGCTCTTCTGCGATTGGGCCTTCCATAGGTCCTATCTTATAGCTCTAAGTGGATAGGCTAGAAGAGACGTAAAAGAAAAAAGTAAAAGTAGGCTTATAACCATTTATAATGAGTTGTGTTAGGCACAGGTTAGCCTTTGGGGCACGCGACGACACCTGCCCACCGCTTTGAAACGTAGCTTCGTACGTGGCTTTGTAGCCACAGCGGCTGTATCGTCGCTTCAAGAGGGGGTTCTACTGTAACCCCTTGTGTAGCAACCTAACTGATAGCTCCGGCTGTATTAGCTTGCCGGCGCTTATTGCGTATATTCGGTGGGTTCTTCTCTGGGATGTCCTTTTACTGCGACTTGTTCTCCGTTGCAAGGGCGTCATCCCTTCTCCGGCTTTGTTGTTCCTCCTTTTATCACAGCGAGTTCTTCCCTTACAGAGGGTTTTATTGCATGTATTGCCAACTTTTACAAATTTGAAGAGTTTTCCGAGAAGGCAGGGACTTAGAAATATCTATAATAAATCCATCAGTAAAAGTGGTGGGTAGGTGTTGCTGGGTGTTCCAAAGACCAACCTGCACCTAGCATGACTCTTCATAATATCATCGGTAAACTAATTGCTCTCCCCTATTTTTTCGTGTAAATTGTTTAGAGGATTCGTAGTATCAAATGAATACTGTGAGCGGTGGTTTAAAGTGAAGTAAAATATTAGAAATGAAAATATAATAGTGACGATCATAGTGGTATATCTAACGTTATAGGAAAATACTTATATTCAAAGACTATTGGAATCATGATATGTTGTTTAGGCACAGCACGACAAAGTCGAGCTTCGTTTCCTCCTTTGGTATATTGGTTACTTCTGTATATATATTCGCGGTCCTTTGAAACTGAGATCAGGGACATCCCGTCAGTACAGACACCCATGGACAGATCTGGGTCCACAATGTAAGGAATTCCTCCAGAATCCACTTTAGTAACGAATGAATATATTTAAATCCATGTAGCCATGACTCAAACTGCCATTTTCTGTTTGATTGTAAGTCGTGCGGCGATTTTTGTGCGACTTTTGTCCAAAAGATTATGACTATTGTTGGAATCAAAGTGAGCCATGACACCAAGAGGCACTGAGTCAGTTTTCCAATGTCGTCAAACGGCCAGATATTTGTGAAAATCGATGCGATTCATTGTTTATTGATTGGGATAACTTACATGAACACACTGAACAAAAGGAACAAATCAATCTACTTATACGTGGGATTGCATTCTGATACCTCCTACCTAGATTTAGCTAGCAGAACTGTAGGCCAGCCCTTTACGTACCAGCACAATGATGTTAGGATATTCTAGAACGCCAAATTTATTATTAATGGCTCATTAAGTCAGTTGGACTGAGGGCAGACATTTATCATATTAGAAATCATCACCAGGTCATCTGGTACCGGGCAAGATGTATGTATATTGGCCTCCTAACTTTGGTGTATTATGTGTACTCTCCTCAACTAGACAACCTTCATTACTTATTAGGATAGGGGTATGTCACATATGATGCTGCTAGGCGGTTAAGTCAACAACCTGATCATTGCACAACGAATTGCTGCGTATGAGACTTCTGCAAAACAGAAGTGTCCAAAACTTCACCAGTAGCGGACTTGATGAAGTCAACCTTCAAGTTATTCGCATCCAAAAAGTTAATCGTCGCATAGCTGAAGTCGTCGGCGTACGCAAAAGAGTTGAACGAGACATTGCTGCCCACCGCGCTAAGACCTTCGATATTGCCCGCGCCGCCGGCGACAATGTACATTGGTGCTGTGGGATCGTTCATGCCGTTAGGGTCCACGGTGTTGTTGAAGGCGGGCTGGAATCGCTGGGAGTTGTGGACGTGCCCGAATATCGCGAGGTCGACGCCGTATTTATAGAATAACGGCTCGAACGCGGCCTGGCACGAGGTGCACCCATCTCCGCCCGTCGTGTACCATGGCCGGTGGCCCCCTACGAGGAGCCACGGCGTGACGGTGCGGTCGACCGAAGCAAGGTCGGCCTCGAGGAAGTCTAGCTGCTGGTTCGCGACGCCGAACGGCCCGCTGTCGAGCCCCGCCGAGCCTCCGGGTCCGTCCGGCGCGTCGTCGAAGTCGGTCTCGGTGTTGATCATGACGAAGTGGAGCATGCCGTACTCGAACGAGTACCAGAACGGTGGCTTCGATAGAAGCTGCGCTTTGTTCGCATTGATCTTGGCGGCCTC